TATTTAAATGTCCTCTGCAAACAAAAATAGAAGCAGGACTAAACCAGAACTTAATCATGACCAAGAATAAATGAGAACTAAAGCAGAACTAAGTCTCGATTTATTCAGGACTAAACCAGGATTAAACCACAACTAAACTAGGACTAAACCAGAACTAAACCAGGATTTAATCAGGACTAAAACAGGACTAAACCAGAACTAAACCAGGACTAAATCAGAACTAATCGAGGATTTAATCAGGACTAAACCAGAACTTAATCATGACCAAGAATAAATGAGAACTAAAGCAGAACTAAGTCACAATTTATTCAGGACTAAATCAGGATTAAACCACAACTAAACTAGGACTAAACCAGGATTTAATCAGGACTAAAACAGGACTAAACCAGAACTAAACCAGGACTAAATCAGAACTAATCCAGGATTTAATCAGGACTAAACCAGGATTAAACCAGGACTAATCCAGGACTAAACCAGAACTAAACCAGGATTTAATCAGGGCTAAACCAAGATTAAACCACAACTAAACCACGACTAAACCAGAACTAAACCAGGATTTAATCAGGACTAAACCAGGACTAAACCACAACTAAACCAGGACTAAACCACAACTAAACCAGGACTAAACCAGGACTAAACATGTCCAAGAGCACTCTTCTGAGCCTGTATAAATATCTTGCGGTAATGGGATCTTGTTGAGTGGGCTCGCATCTCCACAAACCTGACTCCTATTTATTCTGGAAGAGCGCCCCCTGCAGTTAGTTTCCATGGAAATATTGTTCCTTTGACAACTCTTCTATGGTATGAACTCACACACTGTCCCAGAGTTTGGTTTTAAAGTTTGTATGGCAGCTTCTGATGATTCTCCAATTCTGACTTATTTTGGTGGGATCAAATCAAGATCAGAAAATATGAATTATAGTTTTACACAAATCAAGAAACAATCTGTGAAGAAAAGTTGAAAAATATGTTGAAAATTACAGAAAGTAGAGTTCTATTTTAAAAGTTTCATATTGACTCATTATCATATTTGAGATTTCTATCCAAAACTTCATCACAATTTACAATTTACAAAAAAAAAACACCCACATTTTCTGATACTTTGAACATTATTTCACCAAAAAAAAAGGTGTTTTATTATAATACTATTTGTCAAATAATAATCTCTGTGTACATTAGAGGAGTTTTCGAAGAGTGTACTACATGGTTGCTCGGTAACAGTTATGTAATTTCCTTGCACGTTGTCAAGTACAGAAGTAAAATTTGAAACCTAAAATATCGTAAAACAAGTGGCTCAAATCTTATATATGAAGATCGTAAGTGTGTTTTGGTCAAATAATTACTCCAATTTGTCATAGGCACTTCTTTAATTATTATGCAACTGAAGTACCAACTCCAGAAAACGCAGTGTTGCTTTATTTATTATTTCTTTAATTATTATTAGCTGATTATAACTATAGTTTGGGTCTATATATTCAGATGAACTGTCCTGGAGCTTGTGGCTGGAAGTGGGTGTCTGTGGGGAGTCGGAGGGCACAGGGGACGAGGAGACCAGGGGACAAGTGGAGGAGGAGGAGGAGGAGGATTATCCCGTGTCCTGTGATCACGGCTCTGGATTAACACAACGCCGCCTCTTTCTGTTGGTTCAATGTGGACTCTGGCGCTGTCCACTTCCTCTTTGCTTTATTAATTCACTTCCACTTCAGGTTCTCTATCACCTGTCACTTCCAAGTCACGTTACATTCACAAAACAGAAATGAGCCTTTCCTGAACGGCTTTAGAATGAACTTGAGCTGTATGTACAAGTACAAGAGCACAGATTAATATTTGACCATAAACCACTGTGGAACCGACCTGGACACTGTGGGGCTACACAGATATAAGACCACATTCTAATATAAATGTATGACCAGATAAAAGCTTACACACTTGTACCTCCACAGTCACCTGCCCCCCTGCTGCGTCGTGTCCATCTGTCCGTGTTTCCTCTTAATCTGCCTCTTTCTCAGACCTGTAGTTTGATTCCCCCACTGTCCACTAGGAGTTGGCACGGCTCTGCTGGAGTCTGTAAGCTGCACTGATTTAGGTGCACTTTAAATTAGAACTGTAAATCTTATTGTGTCGAAGAGTGTGAGGCCGATGCAATCCACTCTGACAGAGTACAACTTCTCTCATCTCAATAATTAGGCCCACATCTCCAGGACAACGCCATAAATCACCACAGTCATTGTTTACGGCGCAGCAGCTGAATCACTCTTGTTAAAGAGACCATCAACACTTTCCTCTGGAAAAGTGTTAGCTCTGCCAATCACTCGTCTGCACTAATTCTCCAGGAGTCCTGTCCAATGAAATGTGACCTTTAGCATTTCTTAGCTTGTGCTAGCCAACAGCAGCATAAAGGCTAACTGTGTGTGCTGAGACATTAGCCAAACCCTGTTCTTCTCTGTGTTCTCCTAGAGGACAGTGCGCTTGTTACAGTGCATAGAAACGATCAGACCCAGAGGACAAAAGGACAATAGAGCGATTGAATGGATGACCTCTGCAACCCCTGAGACACAAGCTAACAGCTCACAGCTGCAACTCAGCACCAGGAGCACAGTTCATGGGTGCACATGTTTAAACGAGTTTGGAGTTTGTTAAACTGTCACATTTTTATACTTTGACTCTTTTCCAGTGCGTTCATGAGCAGCTCCAGGTGCAGTCAGGAGGATGCTGCAGTGTGCAGCTCTCAGGCCCAGCCTCTGCAGAGGCAGCATCTCTGTACCTGAGCACAGCTATGCAGAGCTATGCACACTGCTCTGCATACAGAGGACACCATGTTCTACATAGGTGTATGTTCTTATGTAATTACTCTCCTAGGGTCCCATCACTGTGGAGTTTCTCCTCTCTCCTGCTTGAGAGCCCTAAAAGCAGGTTAACCACAGCCAAACTCCTGTGACCTTCTAAAACCTTCACACTTTAATCCTCCAGTCTCTGGGGCATCGACACACCTGCACCACCCCCACCCCGACTCCCACCCCGACCCCCAGCCGACCACACAAGCCTTTAGTCAATGTCCTCTGAAGATCATCCACCCTGCTCCATCTCCCTGCTCTGCCCCATCTGTCTTCTGCCCTGATAACCAATCCCACAAAGCAGCCATAGGAAACAGGAGCTGTGGTAATGTGAGCCGCTGGTCATTATCCAGTAACAGGATCCAGCCCTCCCTCCTCACTGCAGCACAGCACCTGCAGAGCCTGGGCCTGTGCACAGCCCACACTGGAGCACATGTGTGAAGGTGAACACATGTCCTGCTACGTGCACGGCTCTTCAGATCACATTTCCACAGACACTGGTCCTGCTCTTGTCTCCTCACACAGCTCCTCCGCACAACACTTATAATCAAACCAAGAGGCTGATGCACATTCTCAAAGGCTCTTTTCATCCCTGTAGATTCTCTGCTAGTTCCTCTACATCCTCACTTAACCCTTTTCTTTTTACGTGCTTCCCGGTATCAGCCTATCACAGCGCTTTATTGGGAATTTCCACCTCAGAGGCCCCGCCCCGCGTTTGACGCAGAAAACCGTCGCAAGGCATGTCCCCTGCGGATCCGGTAGAGGACAGCTCTGGTGCATCTTGCACAGGGCCAAGGGTGAAAATGTAAAGATATTGAGCGTCATTGTCATGGCCACCTTAGGGCTCAGGCTGAAGCTGCGTTCACAGATGCTTGTGTGATGCTTACGTCTCTTCGCTTTGACAAACTTTCATGCGGCAGCCACATGCGTAAGCACTTTTCTACTGCCGTCCCGTTTGACGCAGTAGCCGCTGAAATAGCAGCCTCTGCTTTCTCATCAGTCACAAGTGTGACAGCGACATCTCTGCTCCGGTGTCCCGTCCGCCTCATCCTGATGCTGTCACCGGAGTGACAGGGTCTATCCGGGATACACCGCTCACATCTCGGTCTGTCAAATGCCACCACACCGTCGCAGTAACTCAAATGTAAAATGAAATCTCAGTGTGACGGATAGCTAAGATCACCGGTCTTTAAACCACAAACGACGTCATTACGTCGAATTGAAGTTTATCAAAGATCATGTGAAGTTTACGCACAATTCTATAAAACAAACTTCATTGTTTATGCGCACAGGCTGCATCGCCCGCGTCCCTTTAATCACTGTTTGCAGAATCATGTTAGCTGGAAACCTCTGTTATGTCACAAATTCAAGAATAAGCTCGCGGCGAGTCTCTAATTCGGGTAACCGCATTATGACGCACGGGTAGCTGATGAGACGTTTCCAGCATCAGTCGCAAGGACGAACAGAATCCTGCTTCCCCAAAGTTCAGCACCTCATTTACGGCAGCAGAGCATAAAGCAGGGCGCTTACGGCACCCGAGGACAGAGGCAGACGGGGCAGCGGTTCCATGGAGGTCACAGCGCATTGCGCGCATCCATCTCTACGGCCCATGTGCGTGTGTTTTTGTGCCTTTCATATGTAAAGGATAACGCGGTATCTAATTAAAAATTAAGTATGATTGGCAGTTGCTACACGTGCACCAGTGTTCCACCCCGTAGAGAAGCTCAGTGTAGGATTAAACAGATTAGGTCTGTAACGGCCGGCAAGGTTACAGTCAAAGTAAGGCCTACTCTAATGTACATCCGGACAACCTCCAGAGCGCAGAGGACCTCCCATCCGAGACATCTGCACCAACTTTGTATTATGTTTAACATAACGCAGTAGATTTCCACAAAGACAAACACGAGTCATAGCCCAGTTTTTCAGCGGACACAGCAGAGCTTCTAGATTAAAGGAGGCTATTTGTAACCGAGCAATGAAAGTAGAAGCTGCAAGCCTCATCAGTCTGTCGCATTTTGAAAGACCGAGGGAACACACAGAGCCAATGTCATTCATGTGAACTTACATTTCCTCCAAAGAAAATACCCTATATACAGGCTGCGTCTCTGTTTTATGGCCACTTCAGGTGGGCTACGTCGTAGTGAAAAAAGTTCGAACGGATCTTACCCCCATGTTGGCGCAGTCACTCTTCTCCTCTCAGGTGATGCACGGCTTGAGAGGTGTCAGCCTCTACGATCAAAATACAGTAAGGTGCCTATGGGAATAAAAGTGACAGGCTTAAGGTGACGCTTTCTGAGTTTAAAATAAACCACAGTAATTAGTTGTCAGAGTGTTCCAGACCTCTGAAACCGAAGGCGACACTTTCCCAGCAAGTGAGACGTCAAATGAAATGTTGCGGTCTCAAGCGGAGCATCACGCGGGGATGGTCCTGGGCGCTCTGAGACTCTCGTGGAAAGAGCGAAAGGAGAGACGCAGCACAGACCTGCCTTTTCAGGATCTATCTCCCTCCGCGGCGGTGCCGGCTGCCGCAGTACTCCGCACCTCGTGTCGCACCACTCCGCCTTGAGCGCAAATGGGTGATGTGAAGCCCCCCTCGAACCCGCCCACCGCTCAAAATGCGACCATTCCGGGGTCTGAGCGTCTACTCAGCGACAGAAAAGCTAACCAATCGTCGTTATCTAGTTTTGCTTTCAGACCAATCGGGACCAGTCCTGCCCCTCCTGTTTTACTGCAGAGTTCCGAGGCGTGCGGCAGCTGCGTCGAGTGTCTCTAGACTGAGATTGTGTAAATGGACGAACAAGGTTAGACTCTAGCTGTCGTGACTCGTGCCTGTGTTTGTTCCTCTTGTAATGTGTCACTGTGCCGTCACATGAGTCTGTGTAACGCTGCATGTATCAGCACGGTCCCTGGATGTGTCGCGCTCGTGGTTCTTTCATGGGCATGTGCATCTTGTCCCAGCGGCTCTGGGCCCGCAGCACATCTGCCTTACTACAACACTGAAACAAGAACATACACGTGTTCTGCAAACTCTCCAAACTGGACACGACCTAAAGTGTGCACACTGAGACCGTGATCAGTGACAAGCTCCATAATATACATCGTTTTGTGATTATTTGAGGTGCATTTCTTCTCTGTACCAAACAAAAGAGAGTGAGCAGTAAGATGAAGCACGTGCAGAAGGACACACAGATGCATGCTGGGATAGTGTACATGAAGGACATATTATAGACGGCTATGTTGTGTTCCATATGTTACTCATCACGGGATTTAACCCCGTCATGTGATCTTTCTTGAGTACCAATCTGAGGACCTTTAGAATGATGAAAAACTCATCTGTGGAGAAATGACTGCTCACTAAAGGAGAGGTGAAGGTGGAGCTACTGTGGGCTTCTTCACATGTGATCAAACTACCCTTCACTTAGGAACATTTATTCTCTGCATTTGACCCTTTGACCCGTCCTTCAGCGCTGCAGGGTCAGGAGCAGAGGGCGGCTGTGGAGCCCAGGGACCCATAGATGTTGAGTTAGGTCTGGCCAGCAGGAATATCTTGAGGATTAATATAATGAAAGTACCCGTAGGACTGTTTGTGAAACTACAAAATGCCACAACAATACACACTGTGGGAGATATGAAAAGTTTGAGTCTTGAGTAGTGTCTTTGTAGTCCAAAAGAGCTTATTGAAAGTAAAACTACAGTGGTCTGTTCTAATTTAGCTGGGTTTCAGATAACATCACAACACTTTAGAGGCTACTAATATTTTAGTGGAGTGATTGCAAAAGTTCATATTGCTAAATGCAGATTTATGTTGTAAATGTATGTTGTTGCAAGTCTCTGGGTGTAGTCTTTAATAGAAATGATTAGGGATGTAACAATAATCAAAAAATCGTGATATCGTATCGTCAAAATTCTCACAATAATACCGTGGACCATCACAATATATCGAATTACAAGTGTTTTTGCTGAAATTGAGAGTTATGGTGCAGCAATAGTTAACAAAAGACTACACAGACCATGATCCTTTGCTCCATTTCAGTGCAGACTACAAGAAGAAATAATAGTTCTAAGCACTTTTAAGTCTTAGTTTTTTGGATTAAGTCTTGTCAAGGCATTTTAAGAGGAAAAAGCGTATTAACAGTTTTAGCTGTTTAGCCTCCACAGAATATTGCAATAAATATCATACTGTGAGATGTTTATTGTGAAAATATCGTACAGAGAGATTTGGATATTGTTACATCCCTAACTGTGAGCTTTCCACGATATCGCAATAAATATTGTTATTGTTAAACCCCTTAAAATGATCATATTCAACATTTGTGAATTCACTTTTTTGCTATTTCTTTTAAAAATACAACGTAATCCATAGGAAAATCTGCATTTCTGCCCCCAGCTTCATTGCAAAAAACCCCAAATTACCGACAAGTTGCTATGTCTACTTCTGAAATCTCAACCAAGACATTTAGTGGCATATTTAAGCACATTTTTGAAGGGCTGCCATGTAAATTTGCCATCAGAATAATCACAAAATATACAGCGTGTTAATGTATTCACTCATTCATATTCATTTCGTCTGTGTCACCCAACCCTGTGATTATATAAGGACACATAGTCAGGGATTCTGTAACCTTGCGAAGCAGCGAAAACCCCAAAACACCGTCGAACTTTTCAACCAGGAACCAAAATGGCCTCCCCCGCCCCGATGTCATGACATAATACTTTTCTCTTCTTCTCGATCATTCTGTCACTCCTCGCATCCCTCGCTCCACCTGAAGGTAAAGGAGAAGGAACCCCCCTTCCCCCACCCAACCCCAACGCCCGTCTCCTTGGTAACAGCAGCCGGATGACCTTGTGTCTGTGCTTTTGCTGAGTCAGAACATGAGCGATGGGTGAAGCGGGTGCAGGGGGGAAGATGGGAACGAGGAAGAGAAGGAGAGGAGAAGGAGAGATGAAGGAAGAAAAGAGGGGTAGAGCGAGAAATGGAGGAGAGATGGAGAGAGAAGGGAAGACAACACGCAGAGCAATATGTCACGGTGCGGTAACAGCAGGTACATGTGGTCGTAGTAACAAAATGTGTGGACAGTCACTGGACATGTGCTCAGAGCAGCTGCTACACACTGCAAAACAAGGAATAGCTAAAATAATAATTAGAATTTCAAATATCAGTCTGTATTTGAGTAATCTTGACTTTGAAACCCATCGATAATAATAAATGAAATCAGAGTAATGAAAATATAGAACCACCTTTGCCATAATTAACGATTCAACCCAAATATTATATCTTTTGAATACTCATTCATAAATTATCAAAATGTCATTAACTGGAAGCTGAATTTGACGTCACAATTTCAGATGGAGGGGAGGAAGATTCAGTCATAGATTCGATTCGTCAGCCGGTTTCACTTCTTGGAAACCGTCTGACCTCGCAGCATTAGGATTCATTCGCTCGACAGTAGGCGGGTACTTTTTTTTGTTTAACCAATCGCTGCTATTTGGTCGAGACGTTTGTAATTTGCCGGAACGCTCAGTCGTGACCATGTCATTGTCGGCTTCACAGCTCTTCACTGATTGGTCTACAACTTCCGGGGTTTTTGCAAACCGTCCAGTGCAGGCATGTCCAAACTATGGCCCGTGGGCTAAAAGCGGCCCTCAAACAAATTTTTCTTGGCCCTTAGGCTTCCAGGTGGATTGACCCAAATTACCTTGCATCAATGAAAAATTAACTTTTTACTGCAAGTTTTTTTTTACATCTAACTGAATAAAGCTACTGTTTAATATTTAGTGTGTGGTTTTAAGGATCTTAGCATGAATAAAGACTGCTGACTCATTCTAACGTGTTTAAACATGCACATATTTCAATTAGTCACTGTATTGAGCACCAGTCCACAGCCCTCGATCGACCCTCTGCTTCGTCTGTGTTTAGATATGTGGCCCTTGATGAAAAAAGTTTGGACACCCCTGGTCTAGTGTATTCCAATTCCTGACCTAGACGCTGGCGAGAAATGAAATTGAGTGGAGACACTAGGTGGCACCGGCCTGTCTAGAAGTTTCAGAATTTTGAAAGAAATATACAAATATATGCAAATCATATCCACAAATACTGAAGCTCTTTGTTATTTGTTAGGGATTAGCTCCATAACATTGTCGTATTTGTTTTACAGGGTTCATATTACGCTATTTTCGGATCTATGTTATCATGTCGTTTCTTCATTAAGAACATGCCAGCAGTTGTGTTTTGTTTCAAACATGTTTAACAATCCTGCATATTTAGACTGGTCTCTTCTCTCAGACTGAAAACACTAGGGAAATGCAAAAATATTGAAATATATCGTATCGTTCAATGTGATGATACAGTATCGATATCGTGGTCAGCTGTATTGACATATCGCCAAGAGTATTTTTGGTATATTTTACTAAATTATTTTGTTACAGTGCTACAGTTTTGTTGCTTGTTTAGAGGAAGGAAAGTTGTTCACACGACACATTTGACATTTTCATTGTTTTGATGAGAAATGTTTGTTTTTTTATATGAACAACAAAGACTTTTAGCGTCACAGCCATGACTTAGCCTTTATTTTTTACTGAATCATATTGAATCGATTTGAAATATAGTGCACCCAGCTCTAGAAAACACTTAGTTCCACCTTGTGATGTCATGTGGCGATACAGGAAGAGCTCCACTGTTTTTTTTTTTTTAAAACTCCATACATCTTCAGTAGAATCATTTGGATAATTTCAGCTCTGAAATTGCCGATCTCTACTGAACTAAAGGTGAAAGGAGCTCTTAACTTGAAAACTATCGCATCATGGCATCATAAAGTTGACCAGAGCATTTTGAGTTGTGAAGATGTAGACAGACTAATAATAAAACGTGTGAATGAACTGAAACAAAACTCAAAACGGGTTTGTTTCTGAGGCGGTAAAAACTTTTTAACATGTCTCAAAGCTCACAAGAGTCAATTTTACGTAATATATAGGACCTTTAAACTCTTTTCAACTAACGATAATCACTTCTTAAATAATGACACCACTTTCTGAAGCGAGGCATTGTTCAAACACAATCGCAATTCTGTTCATTTCTACTGACAGACATTATATAACTTTGAATAGGCCCGGGAATTACAGAGATATTAGCCATAAACCAGGTCAGCAAATTTACACTGACAGTTAATCAGCAAAATCCACCACAGAATCTGGCCTGTCCTCCAGCACGATGTTAAAACTATAGGCTCTTGAATGCAGACGCAGAGCTCCATCTATCTGAGCGTTTAAACAGCAGAGTGGATGTTCTGCAGGCTATTAATATGTGGCATGAGTCAGGAGTGCAGCTCTAGTCACTACGGTTAAGAGTCAGGGTGTAATCCAGGGCTCTGACTCTGCACGATTCCACTATACTACTTATACTACTTGTCTTTTTTAAGTATTTACACTAAATAGTCAAAACCAATACATTCTAATACTACTTGTGAAACTGTACTGACAAAAGGATAGGGACCTGAATAGCTTTAGAATGATCTGGAGCTGTATCAGACCATGGACCACTCTGGAACCTACCTCCTGGACCACTGAGGGATTACACAGATGTAAGGGGGATGGGAATCTGTGTATCATTTGTTTATTCATTTTTCAAAATAAAACAAAAAATAAGAAAACGAAATATATATATATATATATATTCTTCATTATTTGTAAAAAAGAAAAAAAAGAAAACAGATAGCCTAAACCAGGACTAAACCAGAGCTGAACCGAGACTAAACCAGGACTAAACTGGTCTCAGTCCTAGTCTCAGTCCTGATCTTGTCCCG